AGCTTAATAACTGTGTACTAAAATTAAATGAAATTAAGGTGTTTGGAGCAACATTCTAGTCCTGTGAGAAATAATTTGGCTTTTTCCAATGAGGTCAAGTACTCTGCTACTTACAGGATCTATGCCAAGGGCCAGGGCATCGTGAGCTTAGCTCTGCTTCATGGGAACATTGAGCATGCCCAGAAAATAGAGCATATGTTCCAGGAAATGGAATAAAAATCTTTGGTTTACAATGTCCCTTACCTCTGAATCCTTCAGAAGTGTTCATTTATCCCACTAAGTGTTAATTTATTCCAGGAGTCAGTGAATGTATCAGTATTCACCAGAAGGCAGGAGAAAAGTATCTCCACTCTTCATTAGAAGATAAAATGTGTTCTAAGTTATCATTACACTGAACTGTACCATACACTGTTGCCATCATATAGCCAGGAATAGGTGCAGGAGGAATTTTTTTAAATAGGTATGATTCTAAATTAGGGAAATTAAATGTTGGGTCTGAAATCCTCTGTTTGGAATATATTTGCAAGCTACAAGTTTTCTCTTTCCTTCTTTCTGACAGTTACAATCACGGTCATTAACGATTTGCTAAAAGTTTCACCCAATAAAAGCACTACCCTAACTCCATATTCTGGAAAAAAACAAAACCATTCCCTCTGTCTTCTCAGTCCTCAGACACACAATCCAAACCCTTCTGGTCTATAAAGAGCAACAATCAACTGTGCATTGCAGATCAATTGATTTCCAATATTTCAAAGACCTATAGATTCATCCTCTTTGACTCTGAATACTATTAACAGCTCAGAAGGTCAGATTGTAGGTCTGTTTGAGTCTAAAATCCATGCTTACATTTTTATGATCCATCTTAGAGATTATATGTTGTCTTCCACTGTTAACAAGTAACAGACAATTAAAAGAGCAGACAGTTCCCCTCCATATGGGAAGTACCATCTGAAGGGAGTTCTAACTACTGCAGTAGTAACCTGTGCTATAAACCAGAACATAACGGGGCCCTTTTTCCCTGCTGGAGTTCCATTACAAAAAGCACAGGCCAGCAATCACAAGTAATAAAAAGAAAATGTCAATCTTTAGTTACAGCTCCCCAGAAAAACAGTTAAACTATAAAATTAATAGCCCACGGTTACATTTTTACAAACTCCATTTCCTCTTCTCCCTGACACAGCTGAATTCGCTAGCACATCAGATAGTCTGGAACTGTGTTAGCTATTCACACTTACTCTTAAGTTAATTAAAACGAAATAATTAAGGAAGTCAGTGTTCCAATCACACAATCCACCTTAAGTGCTCACATGTGGCCAGCGATTACCTGATTGGGCAGCACAAATAGAGACATTTCCATCGTTGCAGGGACAGTGATCATCTACATGGAGCCTCTTTGTCCAAACTTGAAAATTCTCTGAAAAGGATAAGGTCTCCCTGGTTTTTTCTCTCTCACCCTGACACCTCCCACAATAACCTCTCCATTATGCAAATCAGTTTGGCCTCTATCTTTTAATTCACTGACTCCATTACCAGATTCCCCATAATGAAGACACCCAGGGAACTGACACAGTCAGCGTGAATTCTTTTCTGCAAGGCTTTCTCTCAGTTCTGTAATTCTGTATATAGAAATCGCTCTGTAAACCCAGACAGATTCTAGGGGCTAGAATCAGGAAAACTCACATATCAGTAAATCTTGTCCCAGAGCACTGTCCATGTTTGCTAGCCTTCGCTAAACATAGATAGTAGTAGCTACATGGTTTAAATAGACCAGCGGTTCTCAACCTGTGGGTCGCGACCCTTTGGGGGTTGAACGACCCTTTCACAGGGGTCGCCTAAGATATAACAGTAGCAAAATCACAGTTATGAAGTAGCAACGAAAATAATTTTATGGTTGGGGGTCTCCACAACAGGAGGAACTGTATTAAAGGGTCATGGCATTAGGAAGGTTGAGAACCACTGAAATAGACTGTCAGGTGCTTCTAAATTCTAGCATAGGTGTGCTTCTAACCTGTAGCGTAGGACCACTGGCTGAATTTACACTAAAAAGTAGGTGTTCATTCTAATGATGAGAGAGGGTGAAGGGTTCCTCCAAGTGACTGTGAATATCAGGAGGTTTACGTGCTAGTCATTACCTCTTTGCTCTCATACACATCCTCTGTCTGCAAACCTCGCCAACTGGCTTCCGTCAAGGTTTGGTCAATGGAAGGTACTGACGAGAGACCACAGAGCAAGGGAGGGGAACCCCAGGGTAGCCTCACCTCCCTTTCAGGCAGCATTTCCAGCACTATCTGCATCTCCTCTATCTTTCTGGCTCCCATTAGGAAGGCCCTCCTTCCATGTGTCCAGCTTCTGCTAGATGGCCCAGCGGTTTGGTTGCTGCTCTGTCTCTCACCAGTGGTGTGCTGGTAAATGCTTAACAACGTTCTGGAAGGGGTGGGGGGCAGGTGCGAAGAAGCCCTGATACGAAATGTTTGCCAGAGTCTGTGGTGCAGATACTCACCCTCAGGCTGGCAACATTCCTGAATATTTATTTATTTATTTATTATTTATTTATTTATTTTATTATTATTTCTTTTTCTTATCCTCACCCGAGGACATTTTTGCATTTATCTTCAGATAGAGGAGGAGGGAGAGAGGGAGGGAGAGAGAGAGAAAAACATCAATGTGAGAGAGACACATCGAGTGGCTGCCACCCACACGACCCAAACCGGGGCCAGGGACAACTGCAACCGAGGTACGTGCCCTTAGCGGGAACCGAACCCGGGTCTCTCTGGTCTGGACTGATTGAGCCAAATCAACCAGGGCTTATTCCTGAATATTTACTAGACCGACACTCACAAGCGTATACAAACTGGTTTCAGCACACTACTACTCACCCTAAGCAAAGTAGCAGGTTCCTCTGCTTCACCTCCGGGTTCCCTCAAAGTCCCTCTTAGCTTCTTTGCATTTCCCACTTCTTTGTTTCTAGTTAGTTACCTGAAGTAAATCCTATTAGCTACCTGGCACAGGCTCAGGTTTCCCGACTGTATCTTGAGTGTATATGGTTAAGAGTGTAAAATGTATCAGTGAAGAGCTTCTCAAAGTACTGGAATAAAAATCAGCCACATCACTAAGCATGCTGGCAGTTCAGCCGATGTCACCGGTTTTAAAGAGGTAAGACTTTCCAGGTGAAGGAAGCAGTGAATCAATACACATGGTGGCACAAGGTTCTCATCGCACTGTGCACTGGTGACAAAGTGTGGGTGGGCTGGAAGCTGTGTGCAGTCCACGCTTTGAGTGACACTGTGATAGAGCACTTTGGAAAAGCAATTTGGAAACATGTATCAAAAGGCCCACAAGGCATCCTGTCTTTTGTCCCACTAGCTCCACTTTGACAGAATCCCTCCTAGGAACTCATCCCAAGAGAAGGGAAATGCCGTATGTGCAAAGATATTTATTGCAGCATCGTTTAAAATAGGATTTTTTTGGAAGCAACATCAAGGTGAAAGAAAAATTATTAGTAAAATCCATTTGATGAGATATTTATACAACCTTAAAAATTATATCTGTAAGTAGTGTAGCACTTACATATATGGCAAAAATATATACTGAGAGTAATAATCAGGAAAGAAAATTTTACATGCATGATAAGATAAAAAGAAATATGTACAAATCATCATTGAATTATGTAAAGAGGGTATTACTAGATAATTTTTTTTTTAATTTTCAGAGAGTAACCTTTTACTGATGCAGAAATTCCACTTAGTTTTGTTAATTAAGACAACAACAACAATGAAACCCACTATCAAAGTCAATGAGGATATTTAGAAGGAAAACAACAACCTTACACATTAAGATACCTGTGAATGCTGTTTTAGTTTACAACATAAACCCCAGCTAAGCCTGAAGCTAAATTAAGATCCCCAACCTGCCCATCTGTCATCCACTCCCCCGTGCATGGTGCCTACTCCACTCAATACTCTGCTCACCAAGCTCCGGCACACCTCCCTTTCAGAGGAGTGGCTTTTATCACACATGTACTAACAAGCAAACATGCAGCCTCCGGGACCTTCTTTCTACTGTGAACGGGAAGATGTTGCCCCTAGAGGAGCGCCTTCCAATTATTTGCAAACAGGTGGGAGAAGTATCGAAGGTTTAAAGAGTTTGTCTTCAGGGACCAGAAGCAGATAATCGGCTCCTCTTTCTTGACTCAGCATGACTTCAAACCTATATACAAATTCCACCAACTCTCTGGTTCCCTTAGAGAGTATAATGGGTGCTCACTCTACTGCACCCCCTGCTTCTCCCTATGCCCCCATTCACTACAGACCAGATCTTTAAGAGCATAGCTTATTTAGATCAGGTACCTAGAAGCAAAAAAGAAAAAAGAAAAAAAAAAAACTTAAGAGCCAGTCCTCATCCAACTTTTAAATAAACAAAACCCAATTGCAGAATTCAGTCTGCAATATTGCCACATAAGCCACCAAAGACGACTCAGGTGTCCATCGTTATTATAAAAGCGTAACAAAGAGCCTGGGGCACTGGAGCTGCCCTACCTGAGTGCAAATATTAGATCTGCCTTTTATAAGCGGAATGATCTTGAACCAATCCTTAGCCGATCTGTCCCTGTTTCTTCATAGGATTGTTGTGAGGACTAAATTCGTTATTTTTACATAAAGCACTTAGAATAGTGCCTGACACTTAGTGAGCACCCAATCAAGTTCAGCTATTATTAAGCTCTCCCTCCAAAAGATAAATGTTGTATGACGTGGTCCCTGTAAGGCAGTCCGCCCTGCCCTTCCTCAGGGGCCACCGTGTCCACAATGAGCACACAAATGAAGGATATGCGTCAAAATATCCACAGCAGTAAAATAGCCACATCGAAACCTCATGACTCAAGCAGAACCGTGACCCTATTCATTTCTAGGATCAAAATAAAGGACAAAAGGTCGGGAAATGCTGAGATCGTTTCAAAGCAATCCTCCAGCCACGCCTCTGTCCACGTGCGTGGACAAGCCTACCTCGAACCACTGTCCGTGGGACTGCATCTTGAGGATGACACAGGGGTCTGGTTTGGAAAGGGCGTCTCTGTCCGAAATGCCTTTGCAGGCCACACGCAGCTCCACTTTGGTCAGGCAGGGGCTGTTGAAGATCCCCAGCGTGTTGGCCGCCGACTCGTAAATGTTGCTCATCTTCTTCATTCTGTTTCAGGTAAGAAAGACAGGAAAAGAGACATGCCAATCAGTGCAATACTTGTCAAAGGATAAAGCCTGTCAATCACCATTGAGGATATTGATCAGCCTGTGATTTCAAATACTGACTGTATTTACTATCTCACGCTCTACCCACTGGCACTGCTCCAGTGAACAAACAAAAAATAGAAACAAACAAACAAAAACCTCAGCAGGTGTTGGGGCACTTGGCTAAGAACATTATTTTCCTCCACAATTTGCATATATTTGCATAGTAAAAATTTTTGTGTGAAATAGAATTAATGAATTAGTGCAACAGACTGCCAACTGTCATCCAGTTCTATATTAAGGACATAGATGGTGTGAAATTTTACAGGTTTGTTGGTTAATCAATTTACTCACTTTCGAAGGTTTTTCTTCTATGTGATGGCACAGAGATGTCCAAATTCCCCTTCCCCAAACCCTGGTCCACCTTCTCAAGATGCCTTCAGCAAGCCAGTTCCAAGAAAGGCCCAGAATCTAATTTCCTGCCGCCAGTGTCTATTCTCACCTTTCCCTTCCAGTTCCTACCTGCAACATCAGGATTCAGAATCAAAAGGAGGAAACCAAGACGATGACTGTGAGAGAGAAAAAAGCTGGGCCTCTGGTTCTGGACTCAGGCAAACAGCAGCCACAGATAAGCACTGCAGGCCCCTCCCCCTCTCCCCATGATAACCTTTCCATAACACTTTGTATCAGGAGGGCCAGGGCCACAGGGATGCCCCAGGAGGCCACCACCAGTTCCTCCTCTGAGGACTGGACCTGTAAGGACGTTGAAAGATTCTCTCAGGAGCAAAATTCAATATCCTTCTCATGGAATTCTGTTTCCTTGTAGATTCCTTAGGAAAACCTGCAGTGGCTTCTTCAACCTCATAAGGCATTAGTCCTCATAGTGGAATGTCGTCCTCTGTAAAATGAGGATAATCCTTTTGTTGACTGCCAGTGCATTGTTGGCTAGTGTCCTGTTGCTATTATGTGAATATCTGTATCCCCTCAAAATTCGTATGTTGATATCCTAACCCTTGAAGGTGGTGGTATTCGGAGGAAAAGCCTTTGGGAGGTGATTGGGTCATAAGGACAGAATCCTCATAAATGAGATTGGCGTCCTTATAAAAGAAACCCACAGAGCTCCCAGGCCCATCCAACATGTGAGGATACAAGAAGTCCATGTCCCAGAAGAGGAACCTCACCTGACCATCCTGACCCTCTGATCTTAAACATCCAGCCTCCAGAACTGTAAGTAATAAATTTCTATCGTTTATAAAGCCACTCAGTCTGTGATCTTTTGTTATAGCAGCTTAAATGGGCTATGACACCTGTTAGTTTTGACTAAAGGGATGCAGACCCAGAGAGGGAAGAAGACAGAAAACAGCATATTTCTTCCCTATTCCTACCCTGATCATTAGCAGTGGCCAAGTCCCTACATGACGCAGGTCCCGTCAGGCAACTCTGTCTCCATCCCTATCTCTGCAGCTCTCACTGCACTTTGGGAATTCTGTTTCCTCCTGTTGCTCTCTCAGACTTATTGGTAGTAAGAGCTTCCTGCAAGTTTTAAGTTGAGCATTCTAGAAGATTCAGATGCACTCGATTGATCGAACAGAGAATGGAAAGGAAGTGAAGGAAGTGAGGAGATGGTCTCAGCAGGAGCCCAGGTTCAGCATGGCTCTCAGGTGGGCTCTGAAGCATGAATTGTACCATGGGTTGGTCTTAAGAGAAGGGGTCTAGCCTCTTATAGCCCCATGTCAATCAGTCATGCCAGGGAGGCAGAACCTTGTAGGTTTGGTCCCTGCCCTCCACTGGCTGAGAGCAATCAGTCAATTCTCCCGAAAGGGGCAGCTGTGACCTATTAGCAGCCAACACTCACAGCTACGAGGGGATGAATGCACTAACTTGATAAAGGGGATCAGGGTAAAATATCAACATGGTCTTTTTATCACAGTGGTTAGTCTCTGATTATATAGATATATATATAGATACATAGATACATAGATATATATATGAACTCCTTTAGATCAGGGACTATTTCTCATACTTTATTGCATCCCCAATAGTGTTCAACTGATAATACTGTAGACTGATGATGAAACCAACATAACCCTCACTTCTAGGGGAATATAGTGCAGGAAAGAAATGTGGGGATGATCCTGTTGTAAAATAACCCAGTTATTAATAACTGGAAAGGAGCAAAGGGAAGCCCAAATATTATGGGCATGCTGTTTATGCAGCTTTGCCAGGAAGCTACAGTTTAACAGCCCCCAGGGTCTGGACAGGGAGAGAGTAGACATGTGCCCAGTAAAATCTGGATGAAATAGGGAAGGTACTTGCCTATCAGTCAGTGGGAACGGGTCATTGGCCAGAGTAGGTGTGGCCACTGCAAGGAGGAAGATTTGAGATACTTAAGCTCCTAAACAAGGAGTTTGCCTTCTTGCTCTTTTGGAACTCTCGTTGCAGAGGGTGCGCTCTATTGGTGTCCCTGCACTTGCCCACACACGATGGACTAACAGACTGCAACTAGCCTGATGCTACACTGAATGGACCCAGCTCCACCATGGAACAGTAGCTTTGGCTTTGCTTCTAGCTCCACGGAATCCCCAGCTGCACATTTCCCAGGGACTAGATTAAAGAAAATGGGACTTCGGAAACCAAGGGATGTAATTCCATGAAAATAAAGCTTTGTACCACGTCCCATCCTTCCATGGGGCCTCTGGAGATGCTTATGCCAGCGGCACACCAAGAAACCTACTCTCACTAGCAATGGGAAGAAAGAGCATCCACACATTTCTCTGATAACGGGGATTCTAAAAGGGGGACATCCATAATACTTTCAACAATAAAGATTTAAAATTTAACAGTTAAAAACAAACAAAAAAAATCCCAACTTTTTACTCCTGGCTTACCGCCCTGTCCATGCACAAACGAAAACCCAGATCAGATACATTGGAGTTCGTGAGTTCCTCTGGCAGCTGAGAATTAACAGCAGTCCTGACCTTGACTCTGGAGGTAGTACCCAGGCCAGTGAAGTCAAATTGTCTGGCCTTGGCCTGGCAGAGCTCACTGCTGAAAGGTGATCACAAAATATGGCTCTGTCTACGAATGATGAGCTACCTCCAGCCCCAGATAAGTGAAGTAAACAAGTAATTTCACACTCTGTTAGAGAACAGGATTAAAATATGGCCAGATTATCAATACGTTTTCCATGGCCTATTTAAATCCTCTTTGTTGCCTTTCATAAAATATCCTGGTTTTACAGAAACAAATGTCTGTCAAGAATTATCTTGGTGCAAACTGCCTTTTGGCCAATTTCAGAAGCAAATTATAATTGTCCTCTCACTCAGATAATTTAAGTTATTAAACAACAACAACAACAACACACAACTTCAGCATATGCACACTCTCTTAATAGGACAAATTGATCCCGAAACTTAATTAGTTTCTGAATGAGTTGCACACAAAGCCAAGACAATAGAGAGCTCTAGAGGGAAGAGACTCCGCTGGAGTTCACAGGGGAACCAATTGAGCAGAGCTTGTGCTAGAACTGTGTTGAGAATAAGTGCACAATCACTGTTCTGCTTGCTTTGACATTCTTTGGCCTTTGTAAATGTCGGAGCACATCCGGGGAAGTATGCTGGATGTCTCTATCACATAGCATTTCTGTCTCGATTCAAAAAAATGTGTGCAGGACATCTGTTTGTGCCTGGCGCTGGGCTGGAGGCACTGAGCATTCGAATTCAGTCCGCTGAAGATAAACCAGGACTTGTCAGTTTATTTCATATTCAACATTCCTTGATCCACTTTCAGATCAGGAGTGTTAATCTCTTAGGTGGCAAGGGCTGTGCTAGACACTGTAAAGGATGGAGACATGAATGGACAGTCCATCTGCTTCAAAGTTTACATTCTGGAGCACTGCTTCTCAGACGTTAACATGGTCATGAATCACCTGGGGATCTTGTTTCATGGCAGTTTCTATTTCAAGAATCTGGGGTGGGCCTGAGATTCTGATCCTAGGTGACCTGTGGACCACATTATGAGGAGCCAGGTTGCTGAGTATAAACCAAGCACCTATAAAATAAGGCAAAGGGCTCCAAAGTTTATCTTAAGATCAGATACTCATATAAGAGATGCAGAATGACCCAGAGGATAAGAGTATGGATCTAGCATCACAGTATTGGAAGCCAACCGAAGCTCTACTACTCACTTGTTGTGTGACCCTGGGCAAGTTATCTGAATTATCTGTGCCTCAGTTTTATCATGTGTAGAATGGGGATAATAATAGTTCCTACCTTGTAGAGTTGTCTTGAGAATTGAATAAATTTATCCTTGTAAAGTCCACAAAAGAGTGCCTGGTTCACAGTAAACATTCAATAAATGGAAACTAGTATAGTACTTTTTAAATAATGACACTGCTAAATTCCCTGGGGATGGTCTGGCTGGGATGTCCATTTCCCAGGGGTGAACTTCAGCTTGGAGAAGTGAAACAGCTGAATGGCTATCCAGGCACAGCTCTAGATTTGAACCCAGAACTCCAGGTCCAGAATTTAAGCCCTCAACCACTCTGCTATTCTTGCCTCCCTGTGGGATAGCTACTTAAGAAGACTTTCCAAAAAACGGGCAACTGGAGATTTTCACCACACAATACTTTCCCATATTTTCTTGACCTACTTAATACCCCTGAATGTCACACTGAAGCTACCTTTCTTTCCTCTGTCTACCCCCCAAAACTTCCAGCACCCTCTAGGCTTTCACATTCCCTGGTATTAGTTCTTTCATGCGGAGTCCGTTATTTCGTCAATTCCAGTCCTCCATCCCAGCTCCCAGTTTGCAGTACAAACACTTATGCTTCCCAAAAATGGGAAAAGGAAGAAAAGCTATGAATATTTATACTCTTTTGTCCTCCTTAAGTCATATAATGCTCTATAAATTTCTTTTTAAAATAGCTTTCTTTCTTTGCTGTTAATACCAACTACACTAAGA